CAGAAAATACAAATGCACATGACGTTCATTTGAAATGTCCAGATACATATCATAATTGCTGAGTTTATTGAGCTACGGAGTTTATGCATCTCCTTATCTAGATTTTTGTTCGACTTTCCTTTGTCGCCTCTTAAGTTTCTAATCTTTGACTTTTAACTTTAATTACGAGTCTTAGAAGGACCAATCATCTGTATAAGGTTATTAGCTCTTAATCTTGTTTCATTTGATCTAACTCAAAATTTGTGTTGAATGGTGCTATCCACATGTAGATATTTTGTACAGTTTCAAATAATTTAACCTATCTTCCAAACAAATTATCGTTAATTTGAATAGTGGCAGGGTTTAGAATATAAACAAAGTCATGTACTATATTTTCGAAAATAATGAGCGAATCCAATTTTTTTTTTTTTTTTTTTTTTACTTTGGTTTCGAAAAAAAATAGCTTTTCATTATTCGCCTCTTAAGTTTTGACAATATAGGCCTACATCATCACTGAGGAGTCATGGAATGGCGAAAAAGCTATGTGTAGGACGTTTTATTCAATATTTTCCACACAAGATCTAATTTAGAATCTATATTACATTAAGATATCTAATTGTGTTTCTTTTATTCTGTCGTCATTATCAACCCTACCAAGCCTTCATATTTATAACCCTAACAATTGCATCTCTAAACATAAATAATTGATATTGTTCAACTGAACATAGATCATTCGATAGAACAGTAATGATAGCCGAGAGCCAGCACTCACATGCACTTTTCCTCGTCTATCTGTGAACATGAAACATTCCCATGGTACATGCCCTAAACTATCGTAAACTGAAGATAAACAATTTTAGATGACACTCTGTGATAATGTAAACAGCTAGTATCGATTGATTTACATATTGAAACAGAGAATTATCTTGTGTTTAGATATGTAAATGTCAAATCGGATATAATTAACGAGAAATTTTGGCTTTTCACATTTTTCATGTTATATATATATACATATATTCATAGTCATGGTAATACACAGGGCAACAAAAAATTCGCGCGTTCATCGTATACATACATAGTGCGTACATCGTCCGAACACATGCTCTATATAGTGTCTAGCGCACAACTGTGTGAAAGGATAACTACATTTTGAGCGGTTTGGAAAACAATGGTTGGCTAATATTACGGATTGAAAATTAAACGGAAATATCGTGTAGTTATGACTAAATAGCGACCACAGTCGTGTTAAAATTGATCGATGGTTATAAAGGTAGTTTTAAGTTCTACAAGTTTAAAAATTACACCACACCATGCATTAATTTGTCTTTCAATCGTATAGTTTCGTACCTTAGAGAGTGGCGAGTGATGAGTGTCGGACAACAAAAATTACCCGTATATGGGCATACACGTGACCGGCTAGGTATCCCGTGTAACAGAACACTTACAATTTACCTCAGTATGTAAACGAAAGAAGAATTGGAGAAACACAGAAATAATGAAATTAAGATTCCCTTTCAGACGGTTTGAAGTTCTAAATGATTCAATGCCGAGACAAAAAGAGACGTCTTTTTAATGTCTACATATGAAATGTATATATAATGAGTGCCCGTACACTAAGACTGGTCACGTGTAGCACTTCGTAAACAAAACACTTTAGATTACGAGTGCACATGACTGTTCATTCTGTAGCTGATAGATCTACATGTATCCAACCTGTAGTTTTAGAACTTAATTAGGAAATATACTTAATTGCACCCTTATTTATTTTGAAAATAAATTGACATGATCCAACATTCGTCTATGAGTCATTTCAACCACGAAAAAATTGCATATTTGAGCCATAGAACCGCAAAACGTGCGCACAAATGTGTTGTAGCTAGTGAAGCTATAAATCGTATTGTGATAAAGTTCTTTCGATGTCTGAAAGGATTTCAAGAGCTTATTTTAAGTCTCAAATATTCCAATGAACAGAATTTATACATCAGCGATGTAATGGAAACGATAGAAAATGATATGCTGAACAACATTTATATAAAGCACTGTCACGTTTGCAGAATTACTCTAATATGCATTATTGTTTATGTCTTAAAAAATAATAATCTTAGTGTTACACACATGAAATGAATACCAATAAAATGTAACAACTACTCTACTCAATTAGCATGTGTCTTTGATCCTGTCAAGGGACATCAGTATGAAAATTGAGATATAAAAGGAAACAGATGAGTTTAAACGCATCCTTTTGTAACCTAGCTAATGTTCAGCATCCACTTACAAGAGATTCTTAGCTGTTCCATACAGCGGTAGTTACCTTTCAGAAACATCGTTTACCATAAGTCGAAGCGTCAACATATGACAAAGCTTCTATCTCGGATAGCAGTCATCGTGAGGGCTGATAAAGGTTGACAAGTCTCTCTGTCTCTCTGTCTTTCTCTCTCACTCTTTCGCTTTCTCCCTCTTTCTCCCTGACTGGCTGGCGTCTCTCTGTCTCTGTCTTTGTATCTCTCTCTCTCTGTCTCTCTCTGTCTCTGTCTCTGTCTCTGTCTCTGTCTCTCTCTCTCTCTCTCTCTCTCTCTCTCTCTCTCTCTGAAGTACTGTACTGCAGGCAAATTAGCATTTAAGGTATATCACGGAGCAATGTTGTTATCCAAACAATGGAATACAAGTCTTGCATGCATTTGGAGTAATAAACTGCCAAATACATCTAAAGTTCCCGGTTATAAATGGATCTTTCGATTGCGTTTATCTGCCTCAAAATGTTCCATAAACTATCATAGTGTGCTTCCGATTTTTTCACAGCTGGGACTCACTGAAAAGCCTGGGACCTAATCTGTAGACACTTACTGGTATTTGGGGAATAGACGATAAGGTGTGTCTATTCCTGATTAAGCTTGAGCATATACGAATTCACCCTGTTACTAATGTCCGTTTGGTGGTCTTTGGAACTTGTTGATAATTTGTCCCAATTGTTTTGTGGTCTGATAACAATGTTGATTTGTGTGCCATCTGTGAGCCGATGACATTGACGGGCGTTACTCATAAAATAAATCGCTCCAATCGGTTTTGACTATAGAAACTTTTTTGCGGTCCTCGAAATGATCCTTGAGGGACCCAGAAGTCTAAGATTTTGTCACCATAAATGGTAGATGTTTTCTCAACACTCTACTATCATAGGTTACCCCCAAAAAGTAAAAAAAATGTTTGAAAAATATTTGTTATGGACTAGGGTTATGACGTCAAATGGATTGCAGCAGACAGATGAATTATGACAAGTACCGTCCTACACTTGTTATACAAGGGGGTGGTGGTGCAATCATAGACACGTTGACGTAAGAGGACCATCTCAAGAGAGCATCCTGTGCGGCAGATTACACATTGTTATAATGTCTGCTTGATTGCAAATGAGCCCCTAGCCGCTTCAACAAAGTCTTTTACAATATATTAAGAACGGTAGATTTCATACCGAACGGTACCTCCTTAATATTTTCCATGTACATTACAGGGTTTTTTTAACAGTGGTCTAACATTAATTAACTTTCTGAAAACCTTCGACTTAGCAAATGCCTTGTTCATGATTGGAGTAATCAAAGGGAGCAGTATAACAGAAATTACTCCAGTAAAACTGTGTCAAGAAGACCCAGAACTCAGCACTTCGATTAGATAGTGGTGATATTGCGTAATTTGTCATAAGTACGTGGTTCATGTGGTGTCCGTGGTTCACCATCAAACTTAGTCTGCAGCCACGCTAAAAACACCATTGTCTAAAGAAGAGCGCGCCTAATCAATCGACAGTCTGACTGTGCTAGATTAAACAAGTTGGTGACGATAGAGATTTATTTTGCAATGTTCAATTAGGGTTTATCTGTTTTATTTATACCATATAGATAAAAATAAGTAATTGTTTGTTATGGGAACAAAGTTTATTGAACATCGCTATTGCCCAGAAGGCAGAATTGTCGTCAACGTATTATCTGTGTAATAAGTTTTTCTTCGTGTTGTTTTCATAAATGTCTAAACAATTAATTACGTTTTCTGGTATTTAAACAGTGTTTATACTCTATCCCTAGTGTATTTAAAGTTTCAAAATTCTTAGGTATATTTTGATACTGAATGAATGGTGACTTATTATACCCTATTGTAAAATATTTGGCAAAAGTTGTTAAAAGTAATTCATAATAAAGCCAATTAAAACAAAGGTAATAAATCTTGATAACAATGTTATATAATTATAATAATTTCGCTGCGATTTTACCTAACTGTTAAGACTGTTCATTATATTATCTTTGTGTGACACTTGTTAAACCGGTTAAGTAAGGACCTAGTTAAATTTAATTTGTAAACAAAGGTTAAGTTAGTTTAAATCCTGTTCGTTGAAGATATCTAGCTAATAAAAGCAAGACGTCTGCTTTATTTCAATGTAGTGTTAATTGAATCCGACCAAACATGCTAATGTCGTGAAATACACGCGCGCACGTGGTTATAGAGTATATATGTTCCAAAACATTTCCTTTCGTTTCCGTAATCGATATTTTGATTTTTTTTATGATTTTTAAGCATGGAAGCTACACAAAGTTTATGTTGTTTGATTTCCCAAAGGAATACAGGGTCATCAGTAAAATACAATACCAGTCACGAAACATTCAAAAGCATGGCACTCCCATGAGCATAAAAATGTACGTTTTACATACACATATTACCTTTGCACGCAATCAAACAATCATGTGTATCATCATCTGTTATTTCCGATTGAATAGAATTGAAATTATAAGCATGTCAACCGCACGTGCGAATAATGCATGTGACTCGCTTCCAGTTTTGAACATATGAGAACAGTAATTGTCAGTTTATATTAGGTTCCGCTTATACACAAACTGCAGTGCCTCGGTGGTTTTAAAACATTTTGCAATAAAATAATCTTTTGTTTTAATCGTTTGCGTGTTTGTTTTTGGCATGCATATTAATGATAGTGCAAGATTGTTTTGTTATATATAAACGTGATAAAAGTAGCAAGATTACTATACCGTGATGCTTTGAAATCTCAGCAAAGGCCCCAATGCCTTTTGCCCCATAGTTTCCCTCGTCGGCCAGAGTACTGACATATGTCCAACCGAATGACTTGGCGATATCAACCATAGCCTGGGCTTGGAAAGAATCTGGCGGCACAACTCTGGAAAAATATTCAAATCTGGACTTGTCGCTCAAATCGACACTGGTGGAGGCGTAACTGATCTGAGGAATCTGAAATAAAGAAAAAAATATATAGTATACGATTACAATGTAAATAGGCTTCTTAATGTGAAAGCAAAATACTTAAATGATTAGATTATCAAAAGAAATGCGATCTGTTTGAACCTAGAGTATCAGGGGTATGAGTATGAAAACTGTTAACTCAAGGTAATCATTTGAGTAAGTTTGGACATGGTAACAGACAAGGTAACACTTCCCAACGACACCTGTCATCGACTGTTCCGGTCTAGCATATTTTTGTTTACTTCTTTCTCCTAAGTGTCCTTGTGAAACACAAAGAAATATCTATGATTCCCTATTTTCTCTATACAACTAGAAGGTAAAAATATCAAACCATAACTAACAGCGGATTCAAAATTAAAAAGTTTTAATTGATACTCAATCTGATAATTTATAATGGTTTCCATTTATGTGTACGATTTCAATATTATTTACCAAACTAAATTTCGCCATGCATTACTCGAAAACTGACGTGATTATATACATGGTGTATATATACATCTATATATGATAAACTACTCCTTAAACGTTTGTAATGTATTTCTAGTGACATAAAAGTACAGAATTATTATGAAAGTCAAATTAATTCTGGTAAGTTTCCGCATCTTGTAAAGAAATCCTTGTGATTTGAAAATATTATTTGCAATTGTCAATGATTTTTTATATATTATTTTTTTTATGCTAAAGCGAACACGAAATAACATCGCTCAGCGGATTTGATATCGTCAGGGTGTTCTTTTAATTCTTATCAGAGAATTAAACTCAAGAAAACCACAAAGGTATTTCAGGTGAATGACTCCCTTTTATCTCGGTTTCAAATTCGAAAAAAAGGAAATCTTGTTTAAGCTCCTCAATCCTGTTGTAATTTTCCAAATGAGTGGCAGCACCAAATTTGGTCATTTCGTAATCAACTTAAACATTAATATCGGCAACGGAACCGAGGGCGTGATTAATCTGTTGTCGTCAAGGCCAAACCAATCAACATAATCATTTCATAGAACGCTCAAAGAAATTTGCAAATGGCGTTCTAAAATTGCCAATTAAGATTTCCATCAAAAAATATCAGAATGCGAGAATTTTTTGAGAAAGTAAACACCATGTGTTGATATGAATTGCATAGCAGCATTCGTAATGTTAAGAATATTGGTTTTTTAATCTTATATACACATTTCAAAAGATAATGATACCAAAATATGAGTCAACAACAACGATAAAGAATACCAATTTGTATTCCAAAAAGGTTTAAGTTCCCTATAAGACCTGCATTACCTGGTATTAAGGACAGAAACAAGAGAGAAAAGATAGTCAACACTTAACGATACATGAAAATCCCTTCTAAATTCAGAGAAAATAAAATGAAACTTATTGACGACTGCAACGAATGATACTGTAAGAATGAGCAATTAATCTCTTAGGAATTCGTCTATTTTATATTAGCTTTTTAATCGATGGCAACCAAGGAAAGCTGGAGCGTTGCCTCCGAGAAAAAAAAGTTCATCACAAAGTGGGTAATTATGGTGCAATATGTAATCTTCACGGCATGTAATATAATTTCCACCTCTTATACAATTATGATTTAAGCAAACGAGATAAACTTATGCAGTACTTATCAAAGTGAACTGGGATCTGAGAGCCATTCCACACCCATCCATACAAGTAAAATCTACTCTTGAATATACACCGAAATAAACAATCAAAACTACTTGAGAGACGTCCCAGCTTAGAAAATTTATTAACACTTGTACAAATCGGTTACATCGGATGCGCATATCCGTGAATTTAATTGCTTTGGCCAATGGAGCTATTTGACGTAATACTCTTTGTTAAATCCTTTTCCTCTTGTCTTCAATATTTCTTCGATTTTCCGCATATCTTTTTCCCTAACGTCCACTTTCTGGAGTTCGGATTGATAAAATATCCCTTTGATCTCGTCGTCATTGTAATCTTTAGACTTTGTATAACGGCAAGCCTCCTTCTACCTTCTAAGCTATGGTAAATATTTCTCCACTCCATCTCTTGTCGTATTCCCGGGTGCAGGCTTTCAATGATGATACAATCTAACCTTGTCACAAACCCTGAATTCATATGACTTCTGGACCTTTTTCGTTTTTTGTACCACCGTTTATTCTATCTGAACAGGAAATTAAAATTTGAATTTAATCGATGTTTTTGTTGTTTATGTAAGTTGATTCAATAAACATATTATTTATCATGGATTCTCGCTGATTGGGAGGCACTGAGAAAGATAACATTTGCCCCATGTTTAGTAAACGGGAAAAATTGACCGGAAGTGGGCTAGAATTCCTACCTTCGTAATCACTTTATATCAACAATCTAGCCAAATGGAAGCGTCCGATGGGTCTTACTATTGGATGAAATCGGAGAACACCAAGTGGTTATGCAAATGATCCCATTACCTTTAAACTTAAGACTTTTTTAGGGTGGGGGAGGAGGGGGAGGAGGTTAATGCGGCACAAATGTGTGATTGTGTAATATACTGGAGTGTATTTTGTTAAGGTCTTGTTCCCGACATCGTGATTGTCATACAGTATATCAACAACTGACACAAACACAAAAACACAGGATTTCCAAATATAGATTGACAAAGATTATGGGGAAGTTTGAAAATTTCATTTCCTTGCTAGTTAGTAAGTCTGCTTGTTTTGCACTCGTTTACCTTGGGAATATGACATTGCTAACTTGAATTGACAAAGAGTTTGTGTTTGAATTAAAATTATGTTGACATGTCAGGTTTACAGTAACGACATAAAACAAATTAAGGACATGTCTAGGTACGTATCTAAATGTCAAACTACGTATCGTTAATGTATGAAAGAGAGTGAGAAAGTTTGTTGACATTGTGGTATTTAATTTCATGAAAGACGGACCTTCTAAATAGCTGGTCTTTATTAGATGCTGATAATGTGTACATTTTAGTGTAATAATAAGTACCAAGAACACCGGGAAAATACTATAAATCACATTATTTTAATCCGACGTACACAATTTGCAGAAATTACCGTTACTCTTCCACTTATTTGATGATATTGTAGTGATTTGAAGGAAAAAGCAGGAAAAAACCGAACAAATCTGTTTATAAAAAAATATCTTTTTATAAACAAAAAAATTTTTTTTTTATAAACAAAACAAAAAAAAAAAAAAAAAAAAAAAAAAAAAAAAAAAAAAAAAAAAAAAGGATTAGGCTCTAACAAAGAACCTTCATTAGCAATAACAAATTATTCTAGTAAAATGTCGTTAACATTGTTTCGAGAGTGCTACATATTTTTCTTTGTTTTGCTGTTGGGAGAATTTAAGAAAAATCCAATTAAGGTCACACTAATCCTCTATGTGTTGGTTTGAATACATTATTTAAAGCTAACTGTAATTTAATGCAGGTGAAATAGGGGTCCAATGAAAAAAATTGAAACAGAAATCCAGCCCATGAATAGATATTAGATCAAGGAAAGAAAAAAAGCAAACGCCTAGAGTATAGACTCAACAAAAAGTGAGAAAATATTGAAGGGAGTCGACAAAGAATAAACTTTATCAGTTGCAAAACATCAGGACGAAGTAACATTAACACATACCGCCATATATAAGACCATCAGTAGTATCGTGTCTTCACAAAACGGCCAAATATACCAGGTCGTCCACATTCAAAGGAAAATAAACCATGGTTTCATTAACTAATACACTACCGCGCCAATACTAACCATGTTTTGCAAATCCAAAAATCCAGTATACTAAACCGGCGTTTTTTTCTATATTCATCTGCAAACTGATAGATTTTATAAAATACGATTGCTTTTAGTTCAACATTTCATATTGACACGATGACTCAGTAGAGCGTGGACATACGCAGCCTCTGTGAAGATCGCACGCAAGTGTGTGGTTCGAAGCTTCCTTCTCGTGGTGAATTTTAAACTTCAGAATACTGAGAAAAGGTAGAGGTCGGTGTTGTCGAAGCTGTGACATTTCTCCTCAAAATGCTCTGGAAAACATGCGAAGAGTCTTCTGTATGTTGCATGGTGAGGTAGTCATAAGCTACTGTACTACAAGGAGACTCAATGTCAACCACAATGTCCATGGGTGTTGACGCTGCGATAGACCAAGCAACCAATGAGCCAAAGATGGTCAAAGATGCCAATTGAATGCAATATATTTGAAAGATTCATAAATATAGGAAGAACTTTAGTATTGATAGTTTTATGCAAAAATGAAATTCAAGCTAACGGCGGGTTTCTACTTCTTAGTTTTTATTCATAAAAAATGCTGTATTGACTGAAATTGTTCAATTGTAGTTGTAAAATTCAAATGTTTTCTCCTTCAAAGTTCAACTGGACCTGAGCTTAAAACTTAATGTGAAATGTCAGAATATTTTGTGATGGCGATATATTGTATGATAGGCAATGTACGGTACATGTAAAACAATGCTGAACTTTCAGTACCAATTAACGTTAATAAAAGAACACACGAATACCACAGAGACTCTCTAACAATGTTAGGCGGCAGGCAATTTTCAGCAAGATGATTGTTGAATGTGTAAATGTTCATTAAAGCAACACTGACCTCTTGTGTACCGAAACATGTTAAAATGACACTTTAAGACCTTGTTTTCAAACCTCCCTCTGGAGAAGTTTACGTTTTAGCCCTTAATTTAATGCATATGTCGTAAACAAACTCAACCCCAAACCTCTTCATCCACACCGTGCAGAACCATAAACATGAATATAGCGACCTTAACATTTTACTCGAAAGTCAAATGATACGAACTTCGATGTTTGTAACAACAAACTTAAAACTAAAGACAGTCCATTGCTAAAATTTTATGTGATTCTGGATTCAATGGAAGAAAGGAGTTAAATGATTAAGAAAAGAAATTTGGTAGTAATTAGAATTTTGAAATTTGTCCAATATGTTTCAGGCACGCTCCATTTCAGGGCTGCATTTTTTTTAATTTTCTATTGTGAAAATGCCAAAGTATAAGTAAC